TATGAGGCCATTGGCATGTGCGCAGTCCTGTCCTTGAGGTCACTACTATACCTTGGGGGGGACTTCCTGTCTGGGTGGTCACTCCACGATACCACTTGAGGTCAGTAATGGCTAGATAGTCGTCCTAGATGGTAAAGCTGAGGGTGCAATGTCTTAGTGGTAGTTAGACCTTCTGTTAGGTCTTAGGCCAACCAAGATGTTCGTGCACAGAACAGGTAGCATGGTTATGGAGTTCGATTTCCCACTTCTTGGGTCCTGGCTGGTGATCCCTGGTGGTTGATACCCACCATAAGGGGTGATCCTGGACAGAAGCCTGCTACTTCCTGTTCGAGTGGTTATTACAAAGTATACCACTTGGGGTAAACAACTGTACTATCAGTGCTAGGTAATCGCAGGCTGTAGTGGACTTTGAGTGAGACTTAGTACCTAAAATAGTAGTATGGAAGGGTACTAGATGGTTGATGTTACCTGTCGAAAGTCCTCCATGAAAGTAGATGCTCTCTAAAGGTTGTAAAATAAATTGAGTATCAGTGTCATGCAATGGATATAGGATGAGTAGGCGGCGTGTATCTAGCTTCAGATCAACCTAAAATGGCCCGATGGGGGATGTCTTCTAAAGTGGTGCTGTTACCTGAAGAATTAAGTACTCGGTATAATGGTTGCCCAGTGAAGATGATAGGACACAGACCCGAGATTAGTCTCATAAGAGGCAATGGGTGGTCTGGCCATAAACACTAGCAAAGGAAAAGGATAAAACTACCACCATTCGATTCGTCTCAGTGAGAAGATTCTAACAAGCTATGATACATCTTTGTACGATTATTAGATGCCAAGTTATTTAATATATTCTTTATATAACTGTGATTATAAACGGTTCTTTTTAATATAAGATTTTTGAAAATAGGTGTGATAGTGACTATAGATAGATTGTGACTATATAGGATAGATTTTAATAATAAAGTGTTTTGAACATTTAACTGGTGTGACTATATAGTAGAATGTGACTATAACAGGAGTGACTATAGAGGGAGTTGACTGTATTAATTTAAATTTAATTGAATTTACTGAATTAAATGAATTTTGGGATAAAGTTTCATTACAGCTTCCTCTTTTAGAAAAAATTGCGCGAAATTATATTTGGTTACCAATCTCTTCCTGCGCAGTAGAAAGAAGTTTTTCCGCATATAATAAAATTTTAGATGATGATAGACAAAATTTAAATCCAGAATCACTTAAATTCCTTACTATTATGTACTTTAATAATCAAAATAGCAACAAATAACTATAATGATTAGTAAAATTTATATCGGAATAAATCGGAATTTTTACTGTTATCGTGATAAATATTTGTGATTTGATATCGGAATTTTTCCGGGTATCTGATCCGATGATCCGATTTTTTTAATCCGGATTGATCAGTCACGTGATCATCCGGCTGACGGTTTGACCAGATTCATCCGGAGCGCACCTCGATGTTGTAGTTATGCTAAAATTTACAGATTCTGTTTCTAATTTAGAATATAATTACAATCAATATTAATAATTTTTTACAAATTTTTATTTGTTTGCAATATAGAATGTTATATAATACAAAATATATAGCAATGTATAGTACATACAGGAATAAAGAATATTGTGCTATTTTTCAAGCTTATGTTTTGATGCTTTTTCATAATATATGTCTCATATGATAAGAAAAAAATGGAATAACAATTTGAATAAAGAAAGAATAAAAACATTTACAAGCTCAATTAAAATTCTATCAATAAATTTCTATATATGTGTGTGTGTTTTTGAAAAAATGCTTTAACTCTTTCCAGAAGAAGAGTTTTCTTTATTCGGCATTTGAGCTAACCAGCTAGGAGGACTAATTCCAGTTTGTTGCTGAATAGTTGACAAAAGTGGAGGTAAAGATTGAAAGATATTTGCTATAGGATTTGCTTTTTCATTTGTTTCATTTCCAGTATTCCAAACAGTAATGTTAGGATTAAGACCTTGAATAGCATTAGCATTTTCTTTGGCCAATTGTTGATAAACACCACGATCAATCATTATATATTGAAGTGCTGCATAACCATCACCTCCGAAAGAATCCATTATATTTTTAATACCTTGAGCTTGAGCATTGTAAATAGCCAAAAGACCTTCAGCCTCTTTTTGCTTTTTAAAGAGTTCAGCTTCAGCTTCTTTTTGTTTTTCAAATAAACGAGCATTAGCATTTGCTTTAGCGGCTTCAAATTCAGCGGTTGCTTTAGATACATATTGTACGCGAAGACGTTCCGTTTCTGATAATAATCTACGTTCTTCAACTTGTTTTTGAAGTTCAGATTCACGCATCTTTGCGGCTTGAGAAGCTTCAATGGCGGCTATTTTTTTAGCACGGTCAAATTCTGATTCTTTAGTAGCCAAATTCATATTAGCTTGTGCTATAGACACTTTACGTTCATTTTCAATTAAAATTGTTTCAGCTTCAACTTTAGCCGTTTCACGACGTGTTAAACCTTCACGTTCTTTTGCACCAACATCACCACGATATTTTGCTTCGGCCACATCTACTTTTGCTTGATTTACGGCACCTTCATGTGTTTTCATTCTCTATGAGAAAAAGAAAATTTTTTTAAATATAATGATAAAAATAAATAAATAAATAAATAAGAATCAATTTAATAATACAAACCATATATGCAAAATATTCAGACCCTTGAGTATCTTGAAGTTGTTTAACATTAGCATTATAAATGAACAAACCAAATTGATCCAATTCAGCTTGAACATTTTTAATGACCTGATCTTTAAATCCTTTCCTTTCTTGAAAAATTTCTTCCATAGTCATTGCAGCAGCAATAACTCTAGTTTCACCTTCAATAATACCTCGAACTAATTCTTTAACATGATCACTATTCTTATCATTTGCAGCTAAAAGTTTTGCATAACGTTCTAAAGCCTTAGGTTCATCTTTTGGACCAATAGTGAAAACTGCTGGAAGATTAAATTCTAATTTCTCGGCACTCATTGCTTGTAATTGTAAAGTATAATTTGCCGGAGTTATGTCGAAGAATGTTGATCTTTGGACTGATTTGATGAAAAAGAAAAAAATTCAAGATTAGAATAATATTCAGTAATAAAATTAATTAGTAAAAAAACTAATAATTACATGGGAATACCCATCCTTTTTTACAGATTGAAATATCTCTAACGAATGCTCCAGTTTTAACCAAATATTGATTTGGGTCACTAAAAGAAAAAAAAATTATCATTAAAGCGAAACGAAAAAAAAAATTTCGTTAAGATATCGGACGATAAAATACCTAACCCTGTACATTTTGGCTTGTTATTAATGAATAAAGAAAAATTGGAAAAGAATTATTATTTTTTTAAAAAAAAATTTGATAAATATAATTAATTTCTTATATTTATTTTGTTGAAATGGATGAATGAAATGTAAGTTGGAATCAATTATTAATTAAAAAAAACTTTCAAAAAAAAATTTCTGACAGTATTTATAATCACACCATAATATAATGACACCATAATACATGAATGAAGACTTATTGTAAAGCTTGAAATGTAAAAAAAAAAATCGGATTAGGGAATTCCATGGAGAAATACATAAAACGTTGTCACACATGTCACACAATTGGTCATTATGCCAATACAAAATCTTTTTTTTAAGAAACCGTACTTTTGAGGTAACTTGAGTTACAAATAAAATATATTATGAGTCAGTTGATGCCCTACACAATTATGTCAATATCATAATCACAGGTAATTAAAATTGTGTTGTTTCATGAAAAAGAGAATTCCTTGGAGGAATTCTAAACCTCTAAAAATTTCGTAATTATTCATGAATCATAGGATCGTACATTATAATGACGGAGATCAAGTTCCTTATAATCCAAATTCATTATTAAATCATTAACGAGGGTCTAGTATCATATGCCATATGCCGTATAGGTAAAAGGTAAATAGACCGTGTTTATTTCTGCTTTCCGTCAGTTATAATCCCAAAACTCATTGGGGCTTTCAGTCACCGCCCACCGCCCAGCAACGTTAATAGTTTTAGGCAAAAATCACACTAACATTCGCATCTACCGAGTTTACCAGGGTTTCACTTGGGTTATTATTAAACTTTTCCTGGAATTATTATGTGTCGCATAATTTTGCTATAACATTTAAAATGAACGAATTTATTTGCTATTTAGAATTTAATAATCGAATAATCAAATATAATAAATTTTTATTTGCTTTGTGAAATTCTTATATACTAATTATTTTATATGATCTTGTGACCCTAATAACACAAACCCATTTTGCTAATGTTTATTTCCAATTCCTCTTTTTTTCAAGTTGTTTCATTTGTTTGAGTTGCAAATTTGATGCGATTTAACGTTCTTCAATTTTATTTTTAGGAATAATTAATTATATCAACTTCCATTATATTGTCAATTTACTCATTAACAATGCTCTCTTAATTGTTGATCGCAACTATATTTTTTAATATTATCTAAGAACCATACCAATATATGGTTGATGACATCTTACTATTTATTTTCGGTTTATTTTTCAAAATTATATTTAAAAGAATCCATTTATATTAGTAGAATTTAAACCAATAATAAAAAAATCGATGCAAATTTCATAATCCACCTCAAAAATTTCACCTCGTGATTTTGTAGGCATTACCAGTAAATTTTCTACCCCACGTGACCTAAAATATTCATCACCGGCATCCAGATCTGTCAACGTGACAAAATTATGCGAAGTCACGTGGGTCGAAATTTTACGGCCGCACAGCCCAGCTTACACATGTAGACAAAAAGAATAAATTAAAATTAGTTAGAATGTACGTAACTATTTATTATTGGACATGGTTATAAAAATAAAAGAATGATTTATGTTAAGTATGATAACTCGGCTGATTTCGTATCTTTTTTTAAAATCTCTTTATGGTAAAATTAACATTCTACTAACGCCACATAGGCTAATAAGTACTACTGATCAAGATACTAGAAGCGGAAACAATGAACCGTAAAACATAAAAAAATGATACACTTCCAAAACGAAAATGTAATTTCTAGCTACTATTTATACATATAAAAAAAAAAATATCTTTTACGTCTAAAAATGTATGATTATTATTATGATAATGACAATGATGATAATGGAAATAAATTTGGAGAAGGTATACCTTATCGTAAAGGAAAAGCAATCCAACTTATTAAATATGAAAATGGAAAAATTATTTTAAATAAAGAATCTCTTGAAATTATTAAAAACATCGAAGAACCTGTCGCTATAATTTCAGTCGGTAATTATAATATTCATTCATTTAAGTACATAATAATATATTTCATTAAATATATTTATTAATAAAAAGTATATTAATTTTTTGTAAATTATGCATTTTTAAGTCGGGTCTTATCGTAGAGGAAAATCATACTTTGCAAATGTTCTTCATGGAAGACATGATGGTTTCGAACTTGGTTCTAAAGTAGACAGTTGTACTAAAGGAATCTTTATGTGGGATACACCATTTATTCACAATAATTGTAGGGTTATAATATTAGATTGTGAAGGAATTGACGACCCAAAACAGGATGAAGTTTGGGCAACGAAATTATTTATATTATGTCTTGCAATTTCCTCTACATTCATTTATAATATTAATGGAATTGTTGGTAAAGATGATATTGGAAAATTATATACGATGACAGATTTAAGTAAATTTTTGGTAAATAGTGAAGATGAGGAGAAAGATTATTTGCCAAGACTTGTTGTATTATTGAGAGATTTTGGATTAATAGAACCCGATGATTTTAGGGAATATTTTTTGGAAAAATTAACTCAAGTTAATTCTGATGGTAAGTATTAAATATTTCATTTTTATTTAATAAAAATAATTAATATTCATAAATTTTAATTTATTGTATTTTCATTAGCTGCTGCTGGAATTACAAATCACTTTAAAGATCTTGATGTTTACGCTTTACCAGTTTGTATTTTTAATTTTGATTACTATATTTTGTTCTTTTTTTTTAAAAAAAAAAAAATATTTTTTTTAATATTTCATCATCTTTATTAGCATCCGGGGTGTAAAAAAAAGGTTCTTCACGAACTAGAAAAAATCGAAACGTCTCAACTTGATACGGAATTTATTTCTAAAATGACACACGCAGTATCTGAAATTTATGATACAATTACTGCAAAAAAAATTAATTTCAAATCAATGACCGGTATTTCATTTTCTAAATTTTTGGAAGATTGCGTAAAACATATGAATTCAAACACCAACAACTTAGACAAATTATCATTGCCTACTCAATATACTTCTCTCATTAATTTTATGTCAAAATTAGCTATAGATATAGGTTTTACTTATTATTCAACTATGATGACCATTAGATCTATAGATGATTTTCCTATAAATTGGGAAGACTTTGAAAACGAACATAGTATGATATTATCTCAAGCTGATTTTTTATTCAATGAGAAATTAATTGGAAGTTATCATCAAACTCTTGACATTAGAAAGGAATTTGATAACTTAATTGAGGATGAAAAAAATAAATTTACTGAAAAAAATTCTGAATCTGTAAAAAATTATAATTTAAATTTAGCCAATAGTTTATGGCAAGTTCATGTTAGTCCAGGTTTAACTGCTGATTCTCTTTTTGAGGTAAATAAAAAACTTTTATTATTTATTTATTTTTTAATAGATTAATTAATTATTATCATTTTTAGGATTATAATGAATTTAATAATGCATTGGATTCATTTATGCAAGAATATACAAATAAATCATTTACTGGTTCAGAAGCTATGGATATTTATAATCAATATAAAGATGATAAAACAGAATCTGCACTAGAAACACTAGACAAAATGTTTAAATTAAGAGATGCTACTAAAGCTGTTAAAGATGCTCACCAAGAATTAATTGATCAAATTAATCAATCTCAAGAAAGACTTAACCTGTTATTATCAGAGAAATATCAGGAGGAATTTGAATATAATGAACAAATTGAAGAATTAATTTCAAAAATTGATGAACTTACACTTCAACTTTCTAATTAGAAAATTTATAAAACAAATTTGTAAGAATAAGTATATTGGTATACTACATTACTATAATAGGTTATTTATAAATTAAATAAAAAAAGAATAATTTTGTAATTATTATATTATTGTAAAGTTTCAAGTACTTTGAGTTTCAAGTTTGTTTTATATAAAATCTAAAATCTAAATATATATATATCATATTAAATGAAAACAATTCAATAGTTTACTTTTAAGTAATACAAGATTTTATTATCAAATATTTCAAACTTATTGTTTTTTTTAGTGAAATATAATTAATCTATAACTTCAGTTTGTTATTTTTTCCATATTTTGATATTATATAAAAAAATAATTGTATGTAAATAATCTTATTTAATATTATTTAAAGTTAAATATACAAAATAAAAACTTATTCTAATTTTTTAAAAAAAATTAAAGAAATAGTTATTGTGAATATAAAATTATTTTTATTAATTGATAAAATATTATTTGTTTTATAAGTTTTAATAGGATCCTAAAATAAAATTCATATATAAAAAATTTTAAAAATATTACTATATATAAATAAATTATATATAAAAAAGAAATTATTATACTAAGTTATTTTGATTTTTTTTTTTTTTAGATTAGTTAACCAATAACCTTTATTATAAGTAAATGACATATAGGCTGATTTGTCTACCTTTAATTAAAATATTGATTTTGTTACATTTTTATTATACAAAATACTATATAATATACAGTAAATTGGAGGTAAGTATTAAAAAACTTTTATTTAATATTATTATACTTTAAATTGGTAAATATTTCTTTTAAATTAATATAATTCTTAGAATTTACTATATATATTAAAAATTTGTATCTCAACTTTAAACGTAAATATCTTCAGATCTAATGATCCAATCGGCAAGCTCTTTTTCGCTTATATAGACCAGATCAAGGGCTTTTTGAAGAGCCTAAATTTATAAAAAACGGATCAGTAGATCCCAATGGAAATCATGAGTATGCAGAAAGAAGCAAATAATTTTCTACAACAAAAGATCGATATATTAGAAACTCAACTATCCCTACTTAATAATTCAGAAATGGAAACTTTATTAAATAATCAAGAAGTGAATTCGTTCAGCAATGCTCTGATTAAGGTTGCTTGTTTAAACCTCTTCAAAATCCTACGATTAGTTTCGTCAAAATTTTACTATAGATTTATTATAGTTTCGGCAGAGTTTCGGCAGTTTCGGCATTTATAATAAGTTTCGGCAGTTTCGCCTTTCTCCAAAGTTTCGCCAGTTTTTTAATATAACTTTAATAT